AAAGCTCGTGCACCGTGCTGCGCCGTGCGCTCGGCAATTAAACGTCCGTATTATACGCCGTGTGTGTATAGTATCTTCGTAGTCCACTTGGCACCGTGCTGCCGCCGCTGCGACTGCGGAACTTCTTTTTCGTCCCGGTATTACGATCGTTATATCGTTGTACGTCGAGTTAATAAATTTCGCGTACGTACTGGTCCGTACGATACGAAGAATTTCTCTCTTGGGCTTGATACAAGTGCAAATTGCGATATTATTCGTAAAGCCTTGCCCGAAAACTCGGCCACGAGGAGTTATATATGTAGGTATCCGGGCGTGGACTCGATGACTCCGATGTGCCACCACGACATGTATATAGTCAAGCTCGAGAGACGTATAGCTGCATACGAGCTGTGTGTGTTTGTGCTGGAATTCATGAAAATATTTAAATTTATCAAAGATATGCGCATATTATGTATAAGGGAGAGTCGCGAGTATAAAGGATACTACTACTCGTCTTTCTCTCTCACTGCCTCCGCCTGGGCGTCGTCGTCAAGCGCACACACACGTCACTTGCAGTAAAATTTCGCATTTCTCGTATACGCGAGTACATAATAATACGTACCTACGTATATACTTTTGCGCCAGGAAAGAATGAAAAAATGTGTCTTTTGAAGTCGGGCAGCAGCAGCAGCAGTAGTAACGTCGGAACGTACACAAATATATATGATAATAATAAAAAAAAAAAGAGCTGCAAGCCGTGCTGCGAGCGCGTTAATGCGTCACTTTTCACTTTGATCTTAACGTGTCTGCGCTGCATGCTCGAGTTTGCATGTTGCTGTTGCCGTACACAAACTGCAACCGTTGAAAATGTACTTTATTCGAGGCAAGACTTTTCTCTCTCTCTCTCTCTCTCGTTTGCACTTAACCTTGTTCCCTTCGGTCTGTTGCTGTGTTTTTTTCTTCTTGCTCTCTCGGTACCCGTCTCATTAAACTTGCAGTTATAACTTTCGACGCCTGCGCCAGCATCCAGCCACTACTTGTAGCACGTACACTAATCCCCAAAGTTAATTTACTCGCGTGCGCGATATAATTTTTTTTCTTTTTGCTCTCTTGCTCGTTCGGCGCGAAACTCGATCGGGCCGTGGCTCATCGATTGTGTGTGTATGTATGTAATATATCCGTATATTAATGCATAAACATATAATATACGCGAAAGAGCCAATGTACGCGCGATCGCCTTGTCGCGCTTGTTATATCGCGGCTACGGATAAATTACATTATAATCCTTAAGGTATATATAAGGTTTTTAAGCTGTATAGCGGCGGCGGCGGTGGCGGCAGTTCGTCATTAATATACAAGCGTCGCGTCGCGTCGCGTTGCCGCGCACGGACAAAACGACTTTATACATACCGGGCATATAAAGATTCTTCGTCTCTTCTTCCTTTTTTTCTTTCCGTATACACGAGGCACGAGACGTTTACGCGTACCATATTTTCTTTTGCTCGTATGTATGTATAAACTTTTCTCTCTCTCTCTCTCTCTCTCTCTCTCCTGCTCTCTTTGGCGCGCCATTTATATATATTATTATACACGCGAGATCCTTTTGTCAGGTCGCGTGTGCACCCGCGTGACGCCCATCATATGATACATATGATACCTCGAGAGAAAGAGAGAGAGGCGCTTCTTTTTCCGCATTTTTATTTAATGCGCATCTTTGTAATGTGCATGTATGGCAGTTGTTTATTAACGCACATTCTTGACGTTACAGTGTGTCGAGCGTGAACAATTTTCGTGCAAGCTCGCTTCTCGATTTTTAATATACGATTCTTACTGCGGTCATGGTTGCTCGCGCTCACCAAAAATCTCAGTCTCGAAGAACGTGTACGGGTCGAATTGATGACGATGCCAGCCGTACTTCTCCAGGTCTCGTTTATATAAATTAAAAAAACAACACGGCTGCCGCTGCTGCTCTTGCGCCTATTCAGCGCGTTTGACGGACCCGCGCGCTCCGCGAGCGGAGCTGAGCCCTCTCTCGAGGCGGCGTATAAATATATCATGAAGCTACACAGCAACTGCACTCCGGTCTTTGGAGACATCGCGTGTATGTATGTGTGTGTTCGTGTGTGTTCGTGTGCAGTAGTGCAGTGCACACACATATGTGTATAGGAAAGCAACAAAAAAAAAGAAAAAAGAAAAAGAAACGAGAGGTGCACTCAGTCGCTGATGGGGTTGCCTTGGGTTTTTAAAACGCGAAAAAAAGGGTCGCTCTAAATGTTTTTTGGCTCCGACGTGTGGCGTGTAGCTTTTACCATGCTGTACATATACGCGGGAATGCAGCTCGCTCGCACGACGGACGTTTTTATTATTCATCGCGCTTCTCTACCTCGCGTATATACCACTCATCCCTTCCCTTCTAATATACGTCTCTCTCGTGCGCGCCGCGATGACATCGCCTTTATAAGCCGCTATATAGCTGTGCTGCTGCCCCCACGTCCTATATGGCTTTAAACGTCTTGATGATGATTCACGTATGTACAAGCTCGCCGGTGTATATTATACACACACACACACACACACACATGTGTACGCTCGAAGAATTTTCCTCGCTGCAACTCGCGACTCGTGTACAGCACACGGACACACACCTGAGCGCGAATCATTAATGCAACGATTTATTTCGCCTGTAAGAGGTATAGATATATCGTCGTTATAATGCTTACGCCGCCGCTGCTCGCTGCTCGCTGCTCGCGTACACATTTATATACACACATCGGGCCGAGGCGCGCACAAAGAGCCAGTGCGGAGACTCCTCTGCTTCATTGAGCATCACGTCGTTTGTTGTGCCACGATCGCATAAGAGCTCGCAAGTATAAGAGAGAGAAAGAGAAAGAGACCAATAATCAGCCGCGACGTTTATATGCAACCGCGCCGCGCGCCCGCGCGGTAACAATAGCCTCGTAGCAGAGGCAGCAGCAGCAGCGTTGTTTCCTATAAGAAGGAGAGCTGAAAGGAGAGGATCAAGACGAGAGAGGAGGTTTTTGCGCTCGCGCGAGGAACACGTGTGGTAAATTAAAGGGCTTCGAGGTTTATGAACGTATATCCTATAGCTTTTACGGAAACTAAGTCTCTTTCTCTCTCGCTATCTTCTCGAAGGCAGCTAGCAGCAGCAGCAGCAGCAACGGCAGCAGAAAACAAAGGCGTGTCTGAGAATCGTGTTGCCGCCGCGCGCATGAGCCCCCTAAAAAGGGCTCGAGGAGTTCGAATTATCTCTCTCTTCTCGAGCCAAACGAGATCTCGAAATCTGGAAATTAGAGAGTGCCGCGCGGATGATTATTGGTCTATTATAATATGTATATAAAGGCCCAGCGGAGTGCGTGGGTGGCTCCGAGCTGAATCCATTATAAAAACGTTAGGCGCCCCCTAAGTAGTCTGTAATTATGTTTACAGCCGCGCGCGCATATAATGCGATGTGGGTCTATTGAGAGAGTCGAGAGATGATAATGTATAAATGATGTTAACTAAGCACATTAACAAGTAAACAAAAGATTTTTGTTGTCATCTACTTATTGAATGTAAAATAGCTCTCTTAAATCGTATTATATTAAATAAACACATCTCTATTCAAAGAAGCTTGCTTCATATACTATTCAATGTTTGCGAAGAGGAACCTCTTGAAAAAAAATCATCCTTGCTGTTTTTTAAAATAAAGACAAGACCTTTTCTAGATCCAAATAAATGAAGTCCGAAAAATTAAATGATTTCTGATAGTTTTTAAAATTTTCATTATTAAATTTCAGCGAGCCCAAAGTGAAGACTTGATTTATTCCAAATTCATTTAATTATTTTCTTTCTTTACCAACGAAGTTTACCCAGTTATCGAAGGAGGAAAGAGAGAATAGAAATTAGAATTTAAAATTGAATATCGATTTCCCTCGTGCCCGCTGTATACACACACAGACACACAGACAAACGAAAAAGCAAGCTCTAGCTCGCATGCGAATCGCCGTGCAGTTATAAGGGAGAAAGAGTCACGATTGGTCGTTATGTGTGCATGTGTATGTGGCATTGCGCTGCCGTGTGCTGCACATGTGCCTGTATGTGTCTGGGTAGGTATATATAGCATGGGCGAGTTCTCGGGCGCGCGAGCGAGGCATAAACCCATTACCGAATGGCAAACGAGTTCGATGAACTGCAAGAGGCAATTGTTTCTCTCTCTCTCTCTCTCTCTTTCTCCCCGTTATCAGTGCAGCTCTTTTTTGCGCTCACGAGTATCGCGCCCACGCGTACACAACAGCGTATACAGTCTATAAAAGCAACTTCCCTTTTGAGAATTTTCCGATATCGCCGTTGCCCCGCACCACATTTAAGATTATTATTATTATTATCGCTCTACGGAGACAACGAGAGGGGTCGAGTAAAAAAATTTACTCCCAAATATTTTCAGGTAATTTTGATTCGTCTGATCGTAAGTCGTTATTACATAAGTTATGCTTTGATGCATGCGATTATATTTTACACTCTCACGATTATAAAATTCACTCCAATTAGTTTTGTACTTTGAATTTATTTTTGTTGCTGTTTAAAGAAAAAAAAGGGCAACGAGTGAATAATTGCAAAGCTCGCTACGAATCCGAGTACACAGCATTATGATTATATGACTAATGATGCCGTGTATTTTTCACTCGAAGCTGTTGCAGTCGCTATTATATAGGCGCTTTTTTTATACACAGAATATAAGTAAAAGGCAAATACAGCGCTTATATCAATATGAAATATAGAATCTAGCTTTTTTTACTTTTTAATAATATATTTATATTTATTATACAAAGTTATACGAGTATCACGCTATACTGCGTAAACACTATAAAAGTAGAAACGAGCGAGGAATACGCGCGCTCTTTCAGCTTTCCATCTACCCTTTTTTTTAATGCTTTTTCTCTCTCTCTATCTCGTCTCTTTCTCGTTTTAATCACTTATGTACCTGTACAAACATATTATTCAAATGTTTGGTTGAATTGCAGGAATTGAAGGAGAGCTTCAATTACGGCCTGTTCTATCCGCCGGTCAATGGGAAAGCTGGAAAATTCTTGGATGAAGAGCGCCGACTGGGGGATTATCCGTTCAATGGACGAGTCGGTTATCTCGAGGTAAGTTGTTACTTTTATACATACACATCGATTTTTTTTCATCATCACTCGCGTTCGTTCATTTATTTGCGCGGGGCTCCGATCGTTATTTACAGATATAGTAGTAGTACCTCGCGCGCGCTTTTGATATGGGTGCACATAAAAGAGCCTGGCCATGATGATGGAGCTTGTACCACCACGTTATATATTTAAATATTTTCACGGTTATGATGTAGCGCGTGCAGTTATCGATTTGCAATGTATGCAGTGTATGCGTTATTGGGAAAAAGGGGCTCGTCAAAGACCACGACTGCGCGCGAATATATATATATTTTTTAAATTTTACTTTCTTCGTATGTGTGTTGCATCGAGTCTCATGTTGCTCGTATATAAAATACACCTTAAATAAGCAAACTTACGGTTTGTGTATACCGCTCGTATAAAACGTGGAGAACGAGAGACGATCGAGTTTACAAAATTCAGCAGAGAGAGGCAGAGGAAAAGAGTGACGATATGCGCCAGACGCGAAAAAGGCGGCGGCCGGAGGAGCAGAAAAAGGAAAGACGAAGAGTCGAGAGTGATAACCCTCGACCGCCGCGTCGTGGTTATTTGCGGTTAGCCCGCGGCGGGTGCGGCAGCGGCAGCAGCAGCAAAGGTCAAGAAAAGACCTCGCTTATGTATAAGCTGCTACTGCGCTACTACTGTGTTGGCAAAGGAGGGGCCGTGATCCGCACGAGATAGAGAGAGACGCAAATGTCGCGCGTGCTTTCGGAGCGAAAATATATTGATACGTGGGAAGGGGTCAAATAAATAATAACACAAGAATTA